TTGTTGCTGGAACAAAATACCAGATGCCCAAAATTAAGGAAGGAAAGGTTTATTTAGCTCACAGTTTCTGGAGGTTTCAGTCCATACTTGGCTGGCTCCAAGGCAGAGTGGCACATGGCAGAGGGCAACAGTTCATGGTGGCAGAAAACAGCAAAAATAGCAAGAGCAGAAAATGGAGGAGCAGAGAGCAAGCCTCTTTCCTTGCCTTATATTGTATGCAGGCTACTCACCCTAGAGTGGAAGTAGCATTCATACCCACAATCCCAGCATTGGACTATGAATCAATCATAAACTCTAGAAGCCTGTCCCATGACTGCAGGAGGCTTTGGGGGACATCCAGACACAAGCTATAACACACAGCAACCTAATGAGGTAGATGTGCTTGCCTACATTTGGTGGACAAGGAATTTGGAGCTTAGGGAGACTAAAGGACTTGCCAAAGGCCCAGGGCTAGAAGGTGGTGAGTCAGAGATACCAGGCCTGCTAACCTAGGAGGGGGAAGCAGCACAATCCATATTAGATTTCACTTTACTTCTCTTAGTGATATGGAAAGCTCAAGACTCTGAGAAATGGAGATGAGTCAAATGATTTCATATATTCTTCACCCTGTCAAAAGACAAAATGACAATACATTTAGTTTTAGGATGTCGAGTTGGCATTTACTCAAGATGCATAAATCATAGCAGCCTTAATTCTACAAAACAGAATAAGATCTCCTGCCAGGTAATAATGGAACAGTGGATTTTGTAAAGTGGAAGAAATAGAACAGTAGAAAAAAAAACCTGATGGGTTTCCACTAGGTTACTTCAGGTTACTTTTTTTGTAAGAGTTAAAACAGAAGGGGCTTCCTTACTATGTTGGCTAAGGTAGCCTTTTTTTTTTGTTTGTTTTACTTTGTTTTTACAAAAAACTAGTCTATTGTGGGATTTCTCTGCTTCCTTGATGGGCATTTAGCATGAGTGACTATTCTGGACTGGTCAGATCTGTTGGGGCCTACTGCAGGACCTCAGTCAAAAACAATTAATTTCGTAATTTTAACACCTTGAACCATCTACTTATCACCTTAACATCTACTTGCCACCTTTCTTCATCTGTTTTGGCTGCTATAACAAATATTCTATAGACTGTGGGGTTTAAATAACACATCATTATTTCTCAGTTCTGGAGGCTGGGGAGTTTGAGGTCAGGATGCTAGAAGATCTGGCGTGTGGTGACAACTCATGTCCTTGTTTGCAGATGGTTGTGCACTCTTTGTGCCCAATGTGGCAAGCAGCAGAAGAGGAGAGGCTCTTTTTTTTGAGAAAGGGTCTTGGTCAGGCTGGCCTTGTACTCACTGTGACCCTCTTGCCTCAGCCTCAAGAGTGTGGGACTGCTGTGCACATCTCCAGGCTCTTTTCTTATAAAAGCCTTAATCCCATCGTGAAGGCTCCACCCTCATGACCTAGTTCTTCATGACCCCTCAAAGGTCTCACCTCTAAATATCATCACACTGCAGGCTGGGCTTTAGTGTAGGAATTCTGAGGGGGACACATGTATCAGTTCATGGCATTACATTCCTGCTTCCAACCCTCTGACTGAACGCTTGGAATCCTCTAATATTCAAAAGGCCACAAACCCAGAGAGGCCTCATAGTCTTGCTGATTGTGGAGAAGAAGGAAAGTAATTTCCAGCTGAACGCTATAAGAAAACAGGCCTATCCCTTTAAGGGGAGAGGATTGAGTATTTTCATTATTTTCTACAGGGCAGCAACTACATATCTACAGAAAATCTAGTTCTAACTTAGTTTAACTTATATGGGATAAAAAGGATTAGGATCCCCTAGTCTAGCAAACAGAGTTACTAAACAAAGATGGAGATAGTTCTCATCTTCTTTAGTGAGATATGTCGACCTTTTGGGAACTGACAGGATGCTCTTGACATACCTGTGAGAAGGCCATGGAGCCAAGTAAAGATGTTTCTGTAAAACTAAGAATTGAATTCAGGAGCATGTGACTCTCAGACCCAGAATAACGCAGACAAAGCACACACTTTGGAAGGATTTGGACTGCACAGAGGGTAGATATCAGAGTGAGACTGTAACCTTAGTTACATTTAGTTTCATGTCTTTCTCTGTCCTGGTCCTGCTTGGGTTAAGCTGAAGTGAATTTAGAATCACATAAATCGACCCCATTTGGGATGTGAGAAAGTTGGGAGCATCTTCAAAATGGTCTTTGAGATTTTGGGCAACATGTGTGACCATATGGTTGGGTGACAACAGGCTGATCTCTCTGGCATTCGTCCATGCCTAGTGATGTGGGGTTCAGCTGCAGTCTTGGGTGGAGAGCGTGTAACTCTGCTGTTCTTCATGATATGTGTACTTTGGAGAGGGTAAGTCTGACCTCATCACATGGCCAGGAGACCAGGCCTGAGTATCTTTTTTTCCGATCAGTTAGAATTATGCCTGTAGGTGGGTGCTGAGGTCCTACTCTGCCTGGATGGCATCCAGATCAGGGTGGAGGCCAAGTGTAATGGGGGTCCCAGTGGAACGTAAACCGGCAGAACATCAGGAGAGAGAATTGGAAACTACAAAAGAGAAATCTCAACCTCCAAAGGTGGCCTGTTGTACAAGCCCAGGTAGCCACATGTTCCTAGCACACATTCATGTGGGTCACCTGTTGCTGTGCAAAGGCCTCGGGGCAGGGATCTGTCTGGTAGGTGTTTATGGGGCCTGGGATCAGGGCCCCCGCGGGATACACAGCTCTGGGTGATGAGATGTCTCACGGCATACTTGTTTGCTCCTTATCCTCCAGATAGCATGAACACTTGCTTTGGTAGTGCTCTTTGGAGAAGACGACATTGATAAGGAAAAAGTCTACTTAATTTGATCTTTCAGTGGATTCATTGTTAGATGAGTAATGTGCCAACGTTGTAACAAGATTTGAAGGAGGCATATCTCACACAGTAGTGTGAAAACCCAGTTATGCTTATGGGGCACAAAAGAATCAGGTTTATTCTTTTATCACTCTCCTAAGGCCTTAGGATCTAGCTTTGTAAACCTCACTTTGTAAGCAAGTCTTCCCAAATAAGCTGAAAGAGAGAGGTGTCAAATGGATTTGTACATAGCTGATTAAAATAATAAGCCCATTAGAAGACTAAATCCCTAGGCTGTAGTTTCGTTATTTTTTCTTTTCTATGACAGCACAATGGAATGTCCCTTCAGGAAGTATTAAACTGGGTGGATTTTAATAGCTATTAGTTCTAAAGTTTAAAAACTCACCAGAAAGAGGCCTAAACCACCATCTTAGTAGCTCTGTTGTCCCTGTTTTAAGACTTTAGCTCTTGCCAGCCGAGTTAGAATTTGATAAACAGATGAGTAAGTGAATTGAATACATATCTTGTGCCATCCTTTTTCATATCATCCTGAGAGGGAAGTAGTATCATTTTACTTTACCAATAAAATAAAAAATTGGAAATAAAAAATTGGAAGATCACATTACTTAAGACTGTATAGCCAGTGAACAGCAGAACCAGAGCTAGAAACTGGGTCTTTTTATCTCTGAATCATAAATTTCTCTGTCACAGTGTTCTACCTCCTGAAATGTCCTTACCACACTTCCTTGACTTTAGGCACTAGTGCTACATATTCTTACGTTCATTATCTCGTAAAACCCATTCTCATAGCAACTTGAGATAGCCACTCATTATATAGGTGGCATAAAACTGAAGCTCAAATATATTATGTAACCTGCCTAGTGTCACTTAGAGGGTGGTTACCTGTACCCTCCTTAAAGACTTTAGTAATTGGAAGGGCCAGGGGAGATGGATGTCTCACTTCAGAAGGAATTTATGTTCTTTTGATAACTGACACCGTTAGCCACACCAATAGATGTAGGCTGATGGTAGGAGGGGAATATGTAGAAAAGGGATTGATCATGTCCTAACCAGCCACCCATTCCTAATGAGTTCTCTGAGCAAATTATATGCATATAGCACAATGGTCAGTAAGCAGGCATTTTTATTTCTAATTGTCTTAGTCTGTTCAGGCTACTTGAAGAAAACACCATTAAAAAGGGTGGTTTGTAAACAGCATAAATTGCTTATAATTCTGGAAGCTTGGAAGTCCAAGATCAAGGTACCAGCATTTGGTGTGTGCTGTGGGACCATTTTCTTTCTTTCTTTTTTTTTTTTGTCTTTTTGAGACAGGGTCTCATTATGCAGTTCAGGCTGGTTTTGAGCTCACTTTACAGCCCAGGCTGGTCTTGAACTTGCAATGATCCTCCTGCCTCAGCCTCCCGAGTGCTGGGATGACAGGCATGCACCACCATGCCTGGCCCTATGTGGGACCATTTTCTGATTCATAGGTGGTGCCTTCTTGCTGTGTCCCCAGATGGTGGTTGGAGCAAGGTGGATATCTGAGCCTTCATTCATGAGGGCGCTGATCCCATGCATGAGGGCACAATCCTCATGATTTAATCACCTCCCAAAGCCCCTATTTCTTAATACCATCACATCAAGTATCAGAATATAAACAGGAATTTTCAGGGGACACAAACAAGCCACAGCAGAAACCAAAGTACCTTCTGTAGTATAATACAGATCAAAGCTGGGAAGAGCAAAGATTTCTTTTTGCTTAGGCTGCAGTCAAGAGGGGGCATGTGCTACAGTAAAGGGGTCTCACTAAAGGCTAGATCAATGCTGGTCAGCCCCTTGCTAGATGGAGCCAGCAAAGACAAAGGAAGGGCTGATCTTCCTTTCCAGAAGAAACCAGTAGTTTCCCATTCTTCTGTCTTCCCAGAAAGAGGATTTCCAAACATGTTAAACATCCTCATGATTGGTAACGGAATACGTGAGAGAGATATTCTCAGCTAACGTATGGCTGATCAGTTTGCATATTACACTGCATATTTAGCATTCTTATGCACGATGGTATGTGTTAGGACTCAGCCTTGCCCCAGTCTTTGGTTGCTATGGTAATAATCACGTTGTATGAAATGATGGAGGCACACTTTTCTTTACTGCAGGCTTGGCTTAGAAAGAGGGACAACAGCTAAAGAAGCCTTAGATGTCATCGTCTCCTTGTTGGAAGAACATGGACAAGGAGGGAATTATTATGAAGATGCCAGCTCCTGCCATAGCTTCCAAAGTGCATACCTGATTGTGGATCGTGAAGAAGCCTGGGTGCTTGAGACCGTAGGGAAGTACTGGGCTGCTGAGAAAATCACGGGTGAGTAGGGGTGCAGAGTGAAAAGTTTTGAGTGCATTCTTTTTTAAGGATCAAATTTGGCTGGACTCATGGTACCAGACCCAGACTTATGTGGATGTGCTGCCCCGTCTCTGCTGGCTCTCCATGCTTAAGCTCATTTCTTACTCGTGGACATCTCTGTCCAGATGTGAACCTGAAGTTTCCAAATTCAGAGTGAAGGAATGTTAACCCTGGGGAATGACACTGTTAATATTTCATATTTTTTGTTTGCTTCCTGGGAAGGAGTCAGTTCTGATAACCAGTAGCTCCATGTTTCAAACTCTGTTAGTTGGCCAGGAAATGGTGGATCTTCCTTCATACTGTTGTGAATCCCTACAACTAGGAGCTGTCTCTTGTCACCCTCCAGCCCTGTAGACCTCTGTGCTTGGAATCTTGCTCTGAAATAGAAGTTTGGATCTGAGCACTGTTGAATGCCTTGCTGGGCCAACCAGGCCATTTCTCTGTGAAATAATGTTCCCAGAAAAGCAGAGAACTTGATGATCCACACAGGATTTAGCGCCCATAGAATTGCTCTGCAGCATCTTTCTTCAGAGACAGCAATAGGAAAGAAATGGTAGAGCTAGGCATGGTGGCCTCAGCGCATCACCTCAGCACCCTCATATTCTAGATAGAATGGGATCGCAGAATAGGAAAAGGGCCTCCAAGAGGACTGAATAGGAGTAAGAGAGAATTGGCCTGCGACGCTCTTCTTACATTCCTTAGGACAGGATGATACATACATGACATGTGTGCTGCCTTTCCCTCTCTGGTGTCTGTGGCAGACATGGCTAGTAGATCACTGCATTCTTCTCTTGTTGAGCCTATACTTGGCCTATGTTTTACTATGCAGTCCCTTCCTGTTAATGAGAAGAATGAAACATATTTGCCTTATGGGTGTTGGAACCAGATCTGACTTGAGTTAGAAGCATATCTGGTGCATTCATTGGGAGTCATGCCTGTTGTCTGTTTACAGAGTCCAGTGATCAGAGTTCGATGGCTACATTAAGCCCTATACAAAGTTGCCTCACTGAGGCAGAGAAATTGACTGTGCTTTCTTGGCCAAGCTGTGTGAGGTTGCGTCTGCTGGGAGGAGGGAGTGGCACAGGGTACAAAATGAGCTAGTGGCGCCATCAGTGGCCACAGGGAGTTTTCCCACCCTTGTCTGCCCGATGTACAACTAGCAGAACCTTGCCTTGTGGTGATTATGGAACAGAGGCTGCCAACTTAAAACTCCTTTCTACAAAGCCCTGCTAAAATGAAGTCTTACTGCTGAATGGATCTATCAAGAAGGTTTGTGGGCCGTGCTTCAAAGCACTCAGATTGCTTTTAAGTAGAATGTAAGACTTTTTGATCTATAACTGCATTTCAAAAGCTGAGCTTCCCTTTACCATAAGAGCTTAAAAAATCCATCTCCACAAAATGAGTGTTGTCTTTCACTAAACATTTAAGTAAAAAACCCCCAGCCATTTCTTGGACTCATCGATTTCATGTCCTCTGATCCCAGCAGCGCATGTGATTGATGGCCGTACGTTTTAATGCACTCTGTCCTCTAAGCGCTGGTTTTTGAAAGCAAATGTCTACCATAAATCAGCCCTCTAAGAAAATAACATCTATGGAATTGTTTACATGAGCTTTTCTTTTCTTTTTTTATTAGCTTAGTGTAAATGATGTAAAAAATCACTTGTTTAGTCCAAACCTATGTTTTAATTGTTTATAATTTTAATTTTGTAGTGCCCTCTGAAAAAATGAACAGCAAAGGAGCATGCTTATCAGCCAGAAGGGCTTATTTTAGAAGTGTGTGTCATAGAGCAAAACATCCCAGAAGAACTCAGTCTAGCACTGATCCTGCCTCTAAAGAGTAGGTTTCTAGCAGGAATGGCTTCATTGCATTTTGTAGTTTGAGTTGTTTCTCTCACTTTATTATCCAAGAACCTAGAAGCTCTCAGCATGCTCCCTTAGAGCAGCAGCTATAAATGGCCTTTTTGACATAGCATTGCTAAGATGCTGTTTGCACTCTGGACAATTTTGAAATTTGAAGTTCAAATCGTCCTCTGTATCTGAGCTCATGTTTTGCAGATCACATAGTCAGCTTGCCAGCTGAAGAGGATTTCTGTCCTAACTCTGTCATCAAAGCACAGTGTACTCAGAATGTAGACGTTTCTGATTCTAGAACTCCTTAGCTATCCTTTTGTTTTTATGAGAAAAACATTCTCATATATTTTTCACATACACACAAACACACCCAGACACATACATTTGCAAATACTGTTATTTTCAAGCAATTCATATTCTCATTGGCACTGTGTTTTTCTAAATATTGAGAACTTTAAAAAGCTGAATGAAGAAGCATCTGGTTTGTATTTTTGTAGCCAATCATGTATATTTGGCAGTGCATGGTGTGCAGTGTTTTTCCAGGTGTAGAAGAATCAGGGTGGGAACAAGGAGACTATGCATGTTACAGAGCATTCCCACGGAGGAGTCTCTTACAGATTTCTCTTATTAGTGGAGTATCTCTTTCAAGGCACCTTTCCCTTTTCTTTTAAGTACTGCATGCTTGGGGTTTATCCAGGTAGAATGAAGAGCCTCCCATAGCTCCTTTTGTTTGTGAAATCATGATCAATAACGTCATTGCTCATTTACAATGTGAAAATATCTAGTCAAGAATTGCTCAAACCTTCTAAGGGTCTTTTGGAAAGAGGACCAAGCATTGTGTTTCTTTCTTCAAAAATTGAACTGATTCTTCCCTGTAAAGTCAGGGTTTCAGGGTAAGGATTCTCTATAAATTTCCATTTCTTGATTAAGTCTCCATAAATATATTTTCCACTAACTGGGCTTTGCACTCTCTACAGAGGGAGTGAAGTGCATTTGCAACCAACTTTCACTCACTACTAAGATGGATGCGGAGCACCCTGAACTCAGAACTTATGCTCAGAGTCAAGGCTGGTGGACAGGAGAGGACGAATTCAACTTTTCCCAGGTTTTTTCTCTAGCTGATGACCATCTGGACTGTTGTGCAGGCAGGGAGAGCTTAGAAAAGCAAGAAGGTGAGTTTGACCCTTATGATTTTCCTTCTTATACCTGTTGTCTTATGGCAGTTCCAGAAAACTGAATTTTAGAGGGTGAACAAAGAGGAATTGGAGAGAATAGACTGTATGTAATAGCCAACTTGCACCAAAAGCCCCTGCTGTACTGGCAAGCGGCCAACTTGTCCTTGTTTTTATACAGTGCTTCCTCAACCATGGAGGTTTCTTATTTCTACTGATGCCATTTCCCTTTTAATCATCAATGTTGTTGTGTTGTCTTTTGTGATATTTATGGCAACCCTCCTCAGAGCTCAGTGTTGATATATTTGACTTAGTTTCTTCCTGTATTTTTTTCTTGCCCATTCTTATTATCTTGCTAGGCCTTAATGGCAGATGTGTTATCTTTTGCTCATCTGAAGTTCCTTTTGTGGTCTGTCATGGTCCTTTGTTCTATGAATGTTTGTTGAGTTGAATTGTTGTATTAAATTCTCTTCACAAACCTACTACTTGCTACCCAGGTACTGATTTAAAATCAGAATCTATATTTAAACAAATGTATTGGCTAGATGGTTTGTTATTTCTATACCTTCCAAAAATCTTACAGTGGTCACATTTTATATTTGCTCGTTGTACATATATTTAGTCAGTCAAACTTTCGACCATATAAAATGTGTCAGCAAAATATGCTCTGTAGCAGCTGCCTATTTTGTAAATACAATTTAATTGGAAAACAACCACACTGTTCTCTTTGTGTCACTGTGACAAAATACCTGACATAAACAGCTTATAAAGAAGAAAGGTTTATTTTGCCTCATGGTTTCAGAGGTTTCAGTTCATGGTTGTTGGCTCATTGTTGCTGGGTTTGAGGTGAGGTAGGGAACACATGGCACGGAAACTGCTCATCTCATGACAGGGAAGAAAGAAGGTGGGAGGTAGGGAGAAGAGGAGAGGGAGAGCACTGCTGTCCCAATATCCCCTTTAAGGACATGCCCCCCATTGACCTAAATTCCTTCCACTAGGGTCCACCTCCTGAAGGCTCCACCTCCTCCCATTAGAGCAACAGGCTGGTGACTTAAGTCTTCAACACATGAACCTTTGGGAACATTTAGAATCCAAACTACCTTGGCTACCTTTTTGCTTATGGCTGCTTTATGCTATAATGACAGAGTTGAGCAGTTGCAATAAGCAAGTTGTAATGGAAACAATGTGACCCATAAATCTAAAATATCTCCTTATCTGGTTCTTTAAGAAAAAGTTTCCTGACCCTTAATCTAGAAGAATATGTTAGGACTTTTGCTGTAGAACTTCAGTAATATATTCTGGATGGGAAGATAAGACAGTTTTCATTTTTATTTTTATTATTTTTATTTTTTGTCTTTTTGAGACAAAGTCTCACCATGCAGTTCAGGCTGGTCTTGAACTCACTTTGTAGCCCAGGCTAGCCTTGAACTCACAATGATCCTCCTGCTTCAGCCTCCCAAGTGTTGGGGTTACAGGCATATGCCACCATGCCTGGCTTACAGTTTTCATTTTTAAATGGAAACTTTAAAAGAGCTAAAAGTTTTTAATTAAAAAAAATTAACTTGATAGAAGTTATTAGATAGTCTGCTAAAATATCAGCCTAGAATCTGATGAAGCTTTTAAATCTAGCTACAAATTTACAGGAAATGCAGAGGATGGAAGAACATACAGAATAACAGGAAGGATAGCATCTATAAAGTCCAAATTGTGCAGAATACTATAGTAAGAATGATCCAAGTTTTCTGACAAATAAGATACTGTTGGCGGGGGGCAGGGGAGAAGAGATGAGAAGATTTTGGAGACATTACTGAACTCTTTGGTTTTGATTCACATGATTACAGGAGAGCTGGGGATGTAATGTAATGGTAGAAGAAGCTGAAAGAGTAAATAAGATCCAAAATGTGCAATAGATATTGTATAATGAGAAGAAATTGTTCAAAAGGAAGAGAAGCTGGGATAGAGGAAAGGAGAAAAGAAGCAAGAGAAAAGCAAAATTGTATATATATATATATAGGTACTGG